GGTCAGGGCTTCAAGCTGCAGCAGCCAGACAAGGTGTCGGTGACAGTGGGGGAGACGCTGACCCTGACCTGCACCGTGTCTGGAAGTGGTTCCCCTGGTGCTGTGAAGTGGCTGAAGGGCGGGAGCGGTGGGAATGAGACCGTTTATGATCAGAAGACCTCCTTCCCTCGCGTGACGAGGGTGGTGAATGGATCCAACACAGACTTCAGCATCCGCATCCGGGATGTTCACCTCGAGGACACCGGCACCTATTACTGCGTGAAGTTCATCAAATCGGTGGGCACCGGGCAGCCCCGTGCCCACCACCCTCTCCCCGCTCTGCCTTGTATCTCCACAGAGACATCCCTGGTTCCCAGCATGGTGGCTGCAGCTGTAGTGCTCTGCTTCCTCCTCCTCCTCGGCCTCTTCATCGCCCTTTGCGTGTACAGGAGGAAGCGCAGAGGCGAGGCGAGGAGCCTGGCCGGGCTGGTGGCCACAGGCAGCTTCTTGTGCTCCCCTCTGCAGTGCTGTGCAGGGACCCCTGGCACCCCCAGGTGTGTACCCACCACCTCTTCCTTCTGCACCCCAAGACAAGCGAACCGGCTTATCCGCCTGCCTTACCCTGGTTTCCTCTCCCTCTGGAGCAGTAATTTTCCCCAGAAAAGGTCCTTTACCCACAGGCGCATCACTGCGCTGCGTTTGCTTCTCCCTTCGTTTCATGGGAGCTGCAGCCCCTCCCCGTGGTGTCTGAGCCCAGCCCAGGCGCGCAGACAGCACCTTGTCCCGCTTCCCTGCCTTCAGCGTGGGCATCATCTGTGGCCACGTGCCGCAGAGCCTGGCTAAAATTTGGGAGGGGAGTTGAGGAGGGCTCTGCTGGGTGGGGTGGGGAGGGGACCTGCAGCGCTAATGGCCATCCTTCCCCCCAGCAGCAAAGTCCCGGGTGAAGAGACCTTACATCTGCCCAGCCAGGTAAGAGTGAGCCGTGAGTACAGGGAGGAGCATCCCACGCCGATGTCCCGGCTCACAGGGACTCTGCAAGGCTCCGGGGCCGGGGTGGGCACTGGGTGAGCAGCACGGTCCTGGCACGCTCCACACCACGGTGCAGAGCTGTCTGTGCAGCCGTGGCACCGCTGTCCCAGCTCGAACCTGCTGTTGGGGTCATTTCTGCAAGATTTTTCTTGTGACAGCATTCACCATTTGTGTGCACTTCTGCAGCAAAGCAGCAAGGAGGACGACAACATCCACTACGCTGATCTCCAGCCCCTGCCTGCAGCCCCGTGGCACGGCAAGAGCCCCAGTGCAGCCTGCTCCGAGTACGCCAGCGTCCAGGTAGCTGCCAAGTGACATGTGGCACCGCAGCCAAAGAGCCCATTTTGGGAGAAGAAACAGGGGCATTTCTGCAGGGCACAGTAAAGAAGTGGGTCTGTTTGCATGGCACAGCCCGGACCAAGCTCAGCACGCCGTGTTCAGGGCTGGCAAAGCTTCCCTAATTCATCCCCGTCTCAGCCGGAGCTCGACAGCAGCTCTCCCAGGACCCAGCAGCCATCTCAAGCACAGGATCAGGCCACAAGGCTGAGCACCTCTGCCTTGTGCAAGCTGTTCGGTGCCGATTACAACAGGAGGACTTCACACACGCCTGTCTCCACCAGCCTGGGCCATCTCCGGCACTTTCCCAGCTCAGCAGGTCCGTAATTTGTGTCACCTTGTCCCTGCACCAAGCCCATCCTCATTAAAGCCAGCAAACAGCCGTGCTGCCCAGTCCCGCTGTGTTCAGAGCAGGAGCAGTAGTGCCGGTCCCACAGGGTCCTGGCAGATGCGTGGCCTCCGTAGCCCCGTGCCAGCTCCCCCCATGTGGCTGCCCACCTCCCACCAAACCCCCATCTTCTGACCACGCGTGGGGCAGCTCTCAGGAACAGCCCTCAGTGCCGCTTTGCTGCAGCCCATGGGCTGAGAACCAGCCCTTGCCTGGCTTTCCCTGCCCTCCCGAAGGGGCCAGTATTTGGGAAGGGGGTTCATGGTGCTGTGTTAACATCAGGGCAGTTGGCACCAGCCAGCCCTTCCGCTCCTTCTCCCCAGCCCATGCACACCTGCAGTCCCAGCCGGTCCATGCACGGCTGCTCCATGCACATCCCCTACTCTGTGCAAGTCTCCTGCTCCATGCACATCCCCTGCTCCACGCACATCTGCTCCACGCACATCTGCTCCACGCACGTCCCCTGCTCCATGCACATCTGCTCCATGCACGTCCCCTGCTTCAACAACATCTGCTCCATGAACATCTCCTCCA